GTTTTAATTCACTGGACCAAACCAAGCAAAGCTGTGGAACTGATTTCCGCGATGTACAGAGCCTCGGGCCCTAGACTTTAGACTCTGGTATCTCGGGCTCTGTACACCCGAAAGCCCCGCTATTTGCAGGGAACCCAGATGGGACGTGGGGCTAACGATCTGTGTTTTACTTGTGTGACCCTTACTTTCCCAGGGCGCTGAGCCCCAAAGTTTACCACCCATGTCTGTAATGTGTCTTAAGGTGTAACCCTATGTGCTGTTGGTATCTCCCAGAGCCGAAGGTGGTTATCTGTAACCCAGTCCCTCCTGCCTGGGATTGTGTTATGTTGAATCTGTGCATTAAAGAAGCCTGTTTGCAATACAGGATGGTCAGTGCTTAAACCTCCAAAACTGCGTGTCGTCCTGTGATTGGAGGGAAGGAAGATATCACCCCTGTGTCTGCTGTTCCAGCTTGCAGGGGATGCGATGGGAAAAAGTCTTTGTAAGAGTTTCCAGGGCTGAGTGTCAGCTCTATGCGCTCTCGGGCAGAGACAAGTCCCCTAACCATGTAAGAGTTCCTGATCAGCTGAAGGAATGGAAATAGTGGGAGCAACCGGTCGGGTTACCGAGGGGTCCGTTACAACCCCAAGTTACCCTAATAATTCTAATATTATGAACCTGGTGTCCAGGTTCAAGTAAGGGTTTTACACAGGCATCATTTATATGCCTTTGGGAGTAGTCGAATGTAATAACTTGCAGATAGCTTTAGGCAATCCAGACACGATGGAGGAGCTACTCAAATTTTTTTTTTTTTTTATTTATTTTTTTAATAGGTCCATTCCATTCTCCACTTTTTTCTGTATGGAGAACTAATCCCATACAGTGAGGGAAAAAAGTATTTGATCCCATGCTGATTTTGCATGCCAACTGAACAGGAAATGATCAGTCTATATTTTTTTTTTTTTTTAATTCTTTATTTTTCTTTGTGCAGGGAATAACAATACATTTGTCAATGCCACAACAGCATATTTAAAAGATATAAACACAGTAGTTGTATATTTAGAAAATTGGGCAGACTAGATGGGCCGAATGGTTCTTATCTGCCGTCGCATTCTAGGTTTCTATATTAATGGCGAGAGAGTATCAGCACATTCTTTAACTGTTATGTTATGAACAAGCTATTATGTTAGCGATGTCTTTCTAGGTGGACTGTTGTATGATAATCATTAGACTATATAGCAGGGGTTCCAATACAAGATAACAGTATGATTACTTATAGGAAAGATTAACAATATACGTGTACCATTAGTATGACTGACAGCATTTA